GAACAATCACTCACAGCATGTCGTTTAAGTATTTAGGTGTCTGGTTCGATTCCAAGTGCACTTGGGGAAAACACATAGCGTATCTGAGGCAGAGATGCCAACAGCGAATCAATTTCCTTCGTTCCATTACCGGCACGTCATGGGGAGCCCATCCGGAAGATCTGATAAGACTCTACAAGACCACCATTCTCTCGATTTTGGAGTACGGTAGCTTTTGCTTTCAATCGGCGGCGAAGACGCACATATTGTAGCTCCAAAGGATTCAATATCGTTGCATTCGAATCGCGCTAGGTTGTATGCAATCGACGCATACCATAAGTCTTGAAGTTCTTGCAAGCGTCCTCCCCTTAACAAATCGTTTTGCGGATTTATCGTTCCGGTCCCTCATCCACTGTGAAGTCATGAACCCGCTGGTGATCGAAAACTTTGAGAAACTGCTAGAGCGGAATCCTCAAACACGATTCATGAGCTTGTACTACGAGTACATGACTCTGGACATCGGCCCCTCCTCGATCAACCCCAATCACGCAGTCTCCCATCATTTCAGTTGTTCTTCCGCGAGATTCGATCTCACAATGAGGCAGGAGGTTCAAGAAAATCCAGAGGCTCACCGTTCCCTGATTGTCCCAACTATTTTTGTGAACAAATACCGCCACGTCCCCACCGAGAAGAGATTTTTCACAGATGGGTCGGTGATAAATGCGTCCACTGGTTTTGGAGTATTACACGATCTTCATAGCGCCTCATACAAGCTTCAAAAGCCGTGTTAGGTATACGTTGCTGAACTAGCAGCTATATCGTACACGTTAGAGCGTATTGCCTCACTTCCACCTGACCATTATTTCATTTTTACGGATAGCTCCCTGGAGGCTATGCATTCAATGCGGCCGATGAAGCACTCGGCGTATTTCCTGCAGGAAATACGATCGTCATTGAGTGCTTTATCAAACAGCTTGCATATCATCACCTTGGTATGGGTCCCTTCTCATTGCTCTATCCCGGGCAATGAGAAAGCGGACCACGAATGTTTCACGATTTCTCGTCAGCAAGTCCTCGCCAACTGGCAACAAAAGTGGAATGATGGTGATCTGGGAAGATGGCTACATTCCATTGTCCCACAGGTGTCGATCCAACCCTGGTTCAAAGGGTTGGATATGAGTCGTGATTTTATTCGTGTAATGTCCAGGCTCATGTCCAATCACTGTTCATTAAACGCCCACCTCTTCCGTATTACGCTTGCCCACAGCAACTTGTGTACCTGTGGAAACGGTTATCACGACATCGAGCATGTTGTTTGGTCCTGCTCCTTGCATCATAAGGCGCGATCCGTTCTGTGTGATTCCCTTAGGGTCCGAGGAAAACAAGCCTTTAAGCCAATAAGAGACGTCTTGGCTTGCCTTGAAGCTTATTTACGACTTTCTTAAAGCTGTTGATGTATGTGTTTAAAGTTTTGTGTTTTAGTCATCCTTTACGTTTAAGTTTTTTTTTTTTTTTTGTTTATTAATTTATTTGATAAGGCTCAACCGAATTAACTTTACAGAGCCGAGGATTCTTGGTCACTATACAATACATCTTAAAACTATAGTCAAAAGGTACAACACAATAAACACTTTATCTTCCGCTATCCAAAAAGCCTCCTCCATCAGAACTGGAGCCGCTTCCAGTGGTTTCATTGTATGGCAAATTGTTGTACGCCAACGAGGGTCAGAGCGCGTCCATTGCAGCAATGGACGCAAAACGTGGTTAGCACTCACACACTCATCACGAAACGGTTGCTTTCCAAAGTCGACGACGCATCGACCGAAAGAACTGCTGATGAAGAACAATGAGGAGCACGCGTAGCACACATCGAGAGTGGCCTGCTTTTGTCGACAGCCGAGTGAACACTGGCGTTTAAGTTTTAAATTAGTTCAAAATGCTTTCCCTTGTCCTCCCTTCAAATTATCAATAAATGTAATCCCTAATCTCGAGTAAGCTGCGAGTATACGGCCCCCGTTCTACTCACATTAGTTGTAAGAAAGGATATTCACTCTGTAAAAACCTCCAGTATGTAAACACAATCATGTAAAAAATATTCGGCTTCGCAAAGCTAGCGATGGATTATAAAAAAAAAATAACTGTCCCATACAAAACATACAGATGTGCCAATAGGCCTTTTTAATAGGAACTAAACGATCTCTGGTAGTGAATAGAAGATCATCAAAAAGAGTGTTGTGAGCAGAAATTTTTGCTGGATGACATACCCAAGTAATAATTCTGGTTTTATGAGGGTTCTGTAGACCATAATTTAGACTTGTAGAATGCCATGAAACCTCTATAAAACTTGAAATGTTACTTAGGATAGGACACTTTTTTACTATTCCTGATAAATTGATTCATCTGAGATGCTCTGATACTTGATCTACAGTTGAAAAAATAAAGTTTGTATCAATTGTGCAAGGAAATTGTTGTCAAGGAAATGGAAAATGAGAATTTGGCGTCAGTGATTATGATTTTCTGGAATTCTTGTGTGTGAACAGTTGGGGTACAAATCTGTTCAGATCTGTGGAAAAACGTAAAATTAGACAATTACCGATGGAAATTGGCAAGATATTCAATGAAAAATGCTTTAATTTGCGTTGTGAAAAATCCTTATTCTGATGTAAACAAACGGTTTAGTGGACGTTTCCTCTCGAACTCGCCTGGTTCCCTCTACATTGGTGGTGCATTGACGATCTTTTTTTTCCTTTATTTAAAGTCGGTCTCTGTTCCGCAATCTAATGCCAATCACCGACGAACATCGATTGCTATCCATTGACGGCAATCGAATGTGCAGGATGGCAGCTTCCACATCTGCGTAGAATATCGCACCTATTCAACACACATGGGCCGGAACCAACGGCTTTGCTTCCCGAGATGTTTATGCCTCAGGAAAATTCCACTGACCTTGGCTGGAATTGTATCCAGACCCATTGGGGTGAGAAAGAAGTCACGCTTATCACTACATCACCGGTGCTGGCCTATATTTAAGATGAAATGTGGATTCACCAATGAATAAGTAAAATTCCACCAGTAAAATTAAAAACATTCTCCATAAATCAAGAGAAATAATCAATAAAATAACATTAACTGATCCTTAAAAAAAAGCTTTCAAAATTGGGAAAATATAAAATGTTCCATAAAGTTCATCACATTTCTATGGGATATTTCATCTTTTTTGTTGACTCATTTAAAATGTTGTATTTCATAGTTTTAGGCATCATTTCCTCTTTTGACGTAAACTACGTCTTACGGGAAGGAACAGAGAGTGAATCGAAAATATAAAATTGCGACCATCACGAAAATGTGTTAGGTTTTGAACGCTTATAACTTTGTTATTGGTAGATGAAATTGACATCCAAATATATCAATCGCTAGGAAATAATTTTAGAAATCTGCTGAAATAATTGCTTTTCTAATTTTCTATTAAAATATTTTTCGAAAAATTTACAAATAAAATGTGGCAATTTTATCACTGTTTGCTTGAAAAAAAAACAAAGTTTTTTCTAACCCAGCAATTACTTACTTGTGTTCTTCATAGCATTCCACAATTTCACGTAATCGAAAACACTACATTAATATAAACTGGAGGTCAAATCTCTTGGTGAACAAAATAAAACACCATAAAAATCATTTTGACTCCACTTCTTTGCTAGCGAACGTAATAGAATCATTGAACAAGCGTTGCCAGATGTATTACCTCTAGCAGTGAATATAATTTTATTAAGGCATGCAAATACGATGTTTAAACCAATAGCTTAGATGAGTTGATGTTTTTAATGATTAATGAGGATTTTCAATTAAAAAAACTGAATAAATAAAAATTAAAGGTCCTTTTTTAGAACTTAAACGTTCCCATTACAAAGGTATAAAAAGATTTAATTAAACACAAACAGGGTACCTTGTTGTTGGCTTTCCCGCTCAGCGTGGTTTGGCAGTGTGAATGTATTGTCTACGACATTATTATACACGTGCATGTGTGACGTCACATTAGCTGTTGTATTGAAAAGTCAAAGAATAAAAAAGATGGTAGATTTTGTTCACCATACCAGTTGATGTTTATGATGCATTGACTGTTTTGGCACGGCGACGCACGCCACCAACGAATTTTACCAATACTTTTAGAAAGTGATGATTTAGGAATACAAGAAGAAGAAGCAAAAGCAAATCGAGTGATGGTTAGTTGCCGAAAAAAGATTTTTGTAATAATCTCTATGATGGGAAATTATTCCAAAGGAAATGCATGAGAATATTCTTAAAAAATCCCGCAAAGGGTTTGAGTAAATTTGGAAATGCATGCGTTCGACGCATAACTATCAACATATTTAACAGGTGGAAAACCAGTATACGAGCTTTTATCTCTTATTTTGAAGTCGAATAACTGAATTCCTCTAATGTTCAATTAATGTTTTATTAAACACATACGTATTCAAAACTAAACTTTTGATTTGAGAAAAGTCACAGTATTCTATAGATAGGAGAGAAAGGGGCATCATGAGCATACGGAGTGAAATTTTTCCTCAGTAAACAGATACCATATCCTACATTATTTTGCATTATACATCCAGATTTGTGCCAGAAATACCCAGAGTTATACAAAGTGGGCAGAAAAACCGCTCATGTGACTAATCAAATTGCATTGGAATTCGTTTACTAATCCATTGGTGGTAATATTCAATATTTCGATCCACATTAAGCAAAATTTTGACATGTTCCCGATGTCCCTGCAGGGAAGAATTAGTTCTTTCTATCACATTTGAAATTGGATCTCTTGCAAACAATTTGACAGTGAACATATTTATTTTGAATATTAAAATCCTCTTCAACACGTAGCACCATATTTATCAAAACAACATAACCTTTGAGAAAGATTGGCGATTTAGAATTGCTGCAGTGAAATTATCACTAGTTCACAGAACATTGTAGCTCAGTAAAATCGGAAGACCCGTCTTTGATGATCATTTTCCTTTTCTTCTTTCCAGATTACGATAATCGAACGTGTGTGCCATGCGAAGCCAACTGTGCATCCTGTCAGGACCGACCAGACTACTGTACCAGCTGTGATCACCATTTAGTTATGCATGAACACAAGTGCTACTCAGCCTGCCCAAAGAATACCTACGAAACGGAAGACTACAAGTAAGTAACTACCAATGATAACTAACATCCAATCAAAAAATGTTAGTGGCCCTAATATCGGTCTAGTAAATTTCTAAGGATAGCATTTTTGATCATGTTCACAAGCAACCCAAAATATCAATTTGTATTGTGCAGATGACGCAATGTTCTAAGAGAAACTGAAGAACAGGAGGTTTTTATCGATGGGTACAATCTTTAGATCGATAGGCCAACATTAGAGCTATTGAACCTGGACGCTGAATGCTACACACTTAGTTTTTTCTACCGAGCTCGGCTGTGCAAATCTCGGCAAAATAAGTTTCACTGAGATCTCAGCAAAAGTGACATTTGATTGCTGAGTGTCGGATAATGCTTAGCTGAATTTCAGCAAACAAATGTCACTTTTGCTGAGATCTCAGTGAAACTTTTTTTTCCGAGATTTGCACAGCCGAGCTCGGTAGAAAAATCTAAGTGTGTACAACAATAGTTTATTTAACCTCCAATGAACCAAACCTTTCAAGCCACTCTTTGTTGAAAGATTTAGTTCAAAGAATCAAAGCTACCGGAACTTAATTCTCATGATTTACTCGGTATCTGAAACTAATGCTCGTTCCAGTCATGCATGAACCTGGCAAACATTTAGCCTTCACTCTTGCCAGTTACACTAGCCGGCAACGAGAGGTTCTTTTACACTCATGAATACTACAATAGCTTCTCCGGGCAGAATATTTAGTACTTAATCTATACTCACACCGACCGGCCGACCGGCAAGCATCATTGAGAAAGTTCTCGTCTTAATACCTCAAAAGCCAGGAAAACACTCGTTCTTTTCTCATCCTTCCATCATGGTCAAGAGGTATTCATACAGCTTATGCCACTCCTCTTGTGTAATAGCAACTTCTTCCGACGTACAATGGGAGGCTGGAGTTTTTTATTTTCCCTAACCCCGCATCTATTGCAGCCACTCGCTCATTCAACATTCATCGAGTAACAGGTAAACGAAGAGTATTTAACCCAAGATGTACAAACATGCACACTCCCGATATTCAACCTAACTTACTTATCAATTATTCTTGCATTACTAGTATGAGTACGTAGCTGGTGAGATAGCTGTAAGTTCACCCATCATCAAAGCAATAGCGGTTGGAATCGTTAAATAAATGGCTGCATTCCTGGTCAAATAGAACTTTGCATCTGTCTTGAACCAGATGTTCGTTGAACACTTCCACTTCCCTCAAAGATGATTGATCCAAGTAGAAATGTCATGTTTCAAAATGGCACTCCTTCTCTGTGTAACCGAACACATACATACCTATACAAAATCCTAGATCAACAATTGCCTTGAAAAGTCATCTCGTTGTGTTTCAATTTTCACATCCAATTTAATGAAACGATTCCCTGGCTCCCGCCACCGCCAGTAGGTTCCCAATGTGCAGAACGACTGAGGAAAAGAATGCAACGGAGTGGTCCAATAATCGAATTCCATCATGTCATTTGGATATGTACAAGAAAGTGAATGGACGCCCAGAAGGGACAGACCGGCACTTCTATTTGGGTTATGTTTGAGGGTATAAAAAAAGAACGGAAATTGAGTAGTCGCTTAAACCTCCTAGGACACAGCTCACTAGAGGGGGGAAGGGGAGGTTAATTTTTTTCTTCTTAATATTGAATTCCAATATCTGACCGTCCATGTAACACAGTGGCTTGGGCTGAACAGTATAAAGTTTTCGTAATCGTATTAAACTCTGAGAATTTTTTAGATTTCAGAATTATCTTCCAATACAAATTCAAGCATCTCTCTTAGTCGCAGACATTTGTCAAGGCGTGTCATGTGGGCGTCACATTTTGCTCGAAATTCTGTAATGTTCAATCCCAGGCGGTGCCGCCAGGATTTTCTGAGTCATAAAATCTCTGATCAAGTATGTAAGGCCGTTGTTCCCCTGTCCAGGAGTTGATGGGTCGATAGGTGGGGTCCAGGTGTGGAAGCTGCCTCCCTGGCTTTGGTTGCATTGGTACTCAGTACGAAAATCAAGATCGAGGGATAAAAAATCAAGTAAATAAAAATATGACCGAAATTCTGTATTTATTGACGATAAAACAATGACAATCCTTAAGGTGTCCGTTTTAACTCGAATTCTCCGACAGTTGTTATAATCTATGAACTCGAAACCAACTTTTACCTATAAATCTTCGAAATCATCAGCAATTGTTGTAATTTTATTGGCGGAAAGTCTGGCTCTCCGAATAACTTTCTGACCCTCCATATAACTTTCAAACATTGAGTTTTGTTTTGGCACGGGCTTCAAAAACCTCAAAACGAACGTTCTCCCACCTTACCCTGTACATGAAAGTTGTTGTTAAATTATGCTTTTGAACTCTATGATGTTTTTTTTTATTATTAAGGATCAATTGTCTAAAAAAGACTCTACGGAGCCGAGTAACAGCTAATAATTTAGTTTGGTTTTGCTTCTGCTTTCTGCCGTGCCCGCCATTTCCCTTAATTCTTCTATTTGTATCTCCCTTACCAGTTCCATCCACTTGGCCTGCTCTTTGTACGCTTTCTGCTGCTTCTCCGCATGGTCTACAATTTAAAATTAAAAGAAATAATACGCGTTATTCCGTTGCTTGAAAACAGGCGGTTTTAGTTTCTGAGCATCATTTGCTTCCGTTTCGCTGTTCTGTTTTTGTCCTTCCATTTCTTGCTACTTTCGGGCCTACAAGAATTCATCCGATGCCCCTTCAACTTGCATAAAATAACAGTAAATTTTGTTACCCTCACAAAATATGCTTCTCTTCCGAACTAGGAAATTAAGCGATGATGAAATCTTCTTTTTCACATCCATATACATACAACGTACACCAGTGGGTATGTCAAGGCCCAGCTTCGCAGAGATTTTCTTCCGGACGACACGCTGAACTTTTCCGAATTTCCCGCACACCAACGCCTACTGCTTAAAGCGCAGACTGTTCTGACTTAAACTTGATTAATAGGGCTTTCTCCTCCGATATCCGATAGCTTGCTTCCTTCTCGGCAGCATTCGCGTGCAGCTTCTTGACGAAATAATAAATTTCGCCCAAGGATGGTCACTTCCAAACGGTGTTCTTGACCCATCAAATTCAATTTTCTTCACTGACCACCCGAGCTGCAGGCAATGATCAATGCACTCGGGATAATAGTCTTACTTACGTTACCAATCAGTGTATGGCCTTGTTGTCCTCTGCTGTCCGAAGAAGTCGTCTCCATTCTACTCGATCCATGACCACAGTTCGCCAGCCTAGTAGTCTGCGAAGGATCCGCAGGTCACCTTCTACTTGGTCGATCCACCTTGCCCGCTGCGCGCCTCTTCTTCTTGTTCCTGTTGGGTCGCTTTCTAGAACCATTTTCACTGGGTCGTCGTGCGGCATTCTTACGACGTGCCCAGCCCACCGTAGTCACCCAATTTTTGCAATGTGGACGATGGATGGTTCTCCCAGCAGCTGGTACAATTCGTGGTTCATTCGCCTCCTCCACGTTCCGTCATCCATCTGCACTCCACCGTAGATGGTACGCAACACCTTCCGTTCGAAAACACCAAAGGTGCGTTGGTCCTCCACGAGCATAGTCCAGGTCTCGTGACCGTAAAGGACCACCGGTCTAATCAGCGTCTTGTAGACAGTCAACTTCGTGCGGCGGCGAATTTTATTCGACCGGAGCGTCCTCCGGAGTCCAAAGTAGGCACGATTCCCTGCCATAATGCGTCTTTGAATTTCTCTGCTGGTATCATTTTCGGTGGTCACCAGTGAGCCCAAATACACGAACTCATCGACCATCTCGATTTCGTCACCGTCAATCTGAACTCGGGGTGGGAGGCTAACATTGTCTTCCCTAGAACCTCTTCCTTTCATGTATTTTGTCTTCGATGCGTTGATGGCAAGTCCAATCCGCCTAGCTTCAGCCTTCGGTCTGATGTACGTTTCCGCCATCATCTCAAAGTTCCGTGCCATAATGTCGATGTCATCGGCGAAGACAAGAATTTGGATGGACTTCCTGAATATCGTGCCACTCGTGTCTATCCCAGCTCTTCTGATCACACCTTCTAACGTGATGTTTAACAGCAGACACGAAAGTCCATCACCTTGCCGTAACCCCCTTCGAGATTCAAAGGGACTCGAGAGTGTCCCCGATACTCGAACAACGCACATCACTCGATCCATCGTCGCCTTGACGAATCGCGTCAGTTTGTCCGGAAATCCGTACTCGTGCATAATCTGCCATAGCTGATCTCGATCGATTGTGTCGTATGTGGATTTGAAATCGATGAACAAATGATGTGTGGGCACGTTGTATTCGCGGCATTTCTGCAGAACCTGCCGAATCGCGAAAATTTGGTCCGTGGTAGCGCGGGCACCCATGAATCCCGCCTGGTATTGCCCCACGAACTCTCTTGCAAATGGTGACAGACGGTGGCATAGAATTTGGGAGAGTACCTTGTAGGCGGCGCTCAGCAGTGTGATCGCGCGGTAGTTGCAGCAATCCAACTTGTCGCCCTTTTTGTAGATTGGGCATACGACACCTTCCATCCACTCCTCCGGTAATTTCTCCTCCTCATAAATCTTGGCAATTACCCAGTGCAGCGCTCTAGCCAGTGCTTCACCACCGTATTTTAATAGCTCACTTGGTAGTTGATCTACACCAGTTGCTTTGTTGTTCTTCAGCCAACCGATCTCCTCCTCAACTTTTTGAAGATCAGGGGCCGGTAGCCTGTCGTCTTCTGCGTGTGCTCCAAGGTCTGTTGCCGTGCCACCTTCGTTTTCTGCTGCATCACCGTTGAGGTGCTCGTCATAGTACTGCTTCCACCTCTCAATCACCTCACACTCATTCGTGAGAAGGTTACCGTCCAAGTTCTTGCACATATCGGCTTGCGGCACGTAGCCTTTGCGCGAATTATTTAGCTTCTCATAGAACTTCCGTGTGTCGTTTACGCGGTACGGATTTTCCATCGTCTCGCGATCTCGGTCTTCCTGCTGACGCTTCTTCCTTC